CTTGCTTATCATTAGAGTACCATGAGTTACGGGGAACCCATTCTCTACAGTTCACGTTCTCGGGCCAGAATGTGTTGTCGTCCAATATTATCTTGGCACACTGTACAGGAACTGCTATGCGGATGGTATAGGTTGGGTTCGAGCCTTCCCAGTGTCGTAGGAGAATTATATTTGTAATTGTCACACCCCGTTCTTTGGCGTAGTCGACGATAGCATCTTTCACTATGTCAAATGATTCGTCTGCTCTCACATATCCCAAAGGTATTCATGCTTGTAGACCCCAGCCTAGTTTTGTTTGAATTTGTATCTCAAAGGTCGCTGAAGCGAATAGACATCTTGCGACGCGAGTCATTTCTTAACGCAATGAATACTGATTTAAAAGTTCCCATCACTAACATACAGCTTGTTTGGACCAGAGAAGGAGGCTGCGATTAAGATAAATGTCAGGCAAATAAACTTTCAGACCATCAGATCGTTAAACATCATGGAAAATGACATATAACGTTAGGTGTGGAATAAAGTTGTCGTTTGAATAGGACATGAATACCATATACATATTAAAATATAGGATTATATAACGCGGCACAAAATAGTTATTCCTCTTTCTCTACACAGTCATTTCTCATTTCTACGTTCATCCCTTAACCATGTTTATACAAAATGTACAGAAATTTATGATGAGTTCGCATATATTTACTTACCGAAATATCTGGGCGCATACGTGTTTGCTCCCAACTTCAGTCCCCGTGAGTCTGTTACAATCCCTTTAGAAATACTTAACCGAAAGACTACATACTAGTACCCACACACGGTAAGAATTAAGTGTTGTGTTTGAATGGACATTGAACAGGCGAGAGAAGTATTTTGTAAAGATAGAAACAAACAGGTGTAGTTACATACATGTAGATACAAAGGAGTCGACGAAAAACATATTCATGAGTAAATTGAATAGATAACGCATAGAACACCTCTTCACTTTCAACTCAAACAGACAGCCCACAGCCTTGAGTCGATCTCGGGGTGTTTTCAGCCAGCTTGCTGTATAACGTATATTGGTTACGCTACATTCTGACCTTCCAAGTGCAGAACTAGTGACTGTCATGTTTAGCGTTGATTTTCAAAGGCAGCAATTTCCAACGAGAGCAGTTTGTAACATTATTGCTGCAAAATGTTTCAAATGTATTAGGTCAGTTAGGACTGGATCTTATATATTTCGGGCGGTCGGGTAGCCTAGCCGATGATCCGAGTTCGATTCCCGACATGGGTACAATGTGTGAAGCCTATTTCTGGTGTCCCCCGCCGTGATATTGCTGGAATATTGCTAAAAGCGGCGTAAAACCATACTCACTCACTCACTCTTATATGTTTCACAAAAATCAAAATATTGTTAGAATAAAGCAAGGTTGGCTTCACGCAAACTAAAATGGCAGAATGTTGTGATCGGCTCGGGATGCTGACTAAATGTGTTCAAAGAAAATTAATAGATATACCTATTATTTGAAAACATGTATTATGATTATATTGCCCCAAAACAGCAAACGTATCACTCTAAAAAGTTGATAACAACCATGAGGTTGAACAAACGTGAGAGCAGAAATACACCACACCACCACCATCACCCCTCTTTGTTTGGCAATGATCTTCACCTTCGGTGCATGCGAGGGCAGGAAACGGTCACGCTCACTATTTGATAGTGATTCACAAACAATTGCAAATGCTGATGATATAAACTGCACAACAAAAGTTTCTGTGACATTGAATAAGATTTAATTCAAAGTTATGTTTTTTACCAAATCTGAAACAATTTCGGTTTGCAACAGATAAAAGACTCCTGTAAGTGTTCAAATGGGTTAATTTGCCAAACTGACTTCAGGAAATGCATGATTTCATTAAAAAAATCCATGAACATGCCAAACAGGTGCGGTTACATACATGAGGATTCAATGTGTAAAGTGAACACCTTTCACTTTCAGGTCAAACAGACAACACGGGCTGTGAGTTGATATCGGGTAAGTGCAGCTGGTGTGACACTGTTGTATGAAGTATATTGCTTGCAGTACATTATGACCTCCCAAGTGCTGAACTGGTGGCTGTATGTTGTATGTTCCAAGGCAGCAAGTTCAGATGAGGGAATTTATTTAAAGAATATTGTTCCAGAAAAGTGTTTCAAATGTATTAGATTAGTGAGGACTGGATGTTATCCTTTCCCAAAAAATCGAAATATTGTTAGAATAAAGCAAGGTTGGCTTCACGCAAACTACAATGGCAGAATGTTGTGGTCGGCATGGGAGTCTGACTAAATGGGTTCAAAGAAAATTAATAGAGGTACCTGTTATTTGAACCCACGTAGTAATACTATACTGCCGTAAAGAGCAACATGTCACTCCTAATTTTGATAATCACCCCAAGTATAAAAAAAGTGAGAACAATAATACACACACACCCCCCCCCCCCCCCCCCTCCGGTGGTGATGGCATAAGCTACATTTTTATGTTTTCAGTTTTCATCAACAAAGAAGTCCCTCACAAGATGAGAATAGGACAGGCTGTCTTCAGAAGTACCATCCGATGCAACATCCGCTTCACGGTGGTTGGCCTTCTAGGTTCACATCTTCATCTGCTATTTCCCAATACATTGACGCGGGCTGGTACGCCTCCAAGTAGTGGTCTGCTTGATTTGTCCTATATTGAAAGAAGGTTAAATAATAGTAAAATATAGCGTTTGGTATAAATGCAATTGATATCGCTTGTGGAAGTATTACTAGATATGAATTATTAATGCAAGAGAATAACCAGCCAAGATTTTCTGCCAAAACAGATTCCACCTGACGTAAAGGGCAAATAGTCGTGGAAATTATATGCATGGAGCACTGAAAATCAGTGATGATACCAGGTGTTCGCGGAAAGGGTAAGCATGTCCTGCTCTACCGGTAGCACCCTCCATTCATACAATTTGCATACATAAAGTAAGTATTTATTGCCTGCAGTAAAGCAGTACTCATGCCATGCGACGCAAACCTGTAAACAAACCAGACAATGAAGTTATCGATGAACCAAACAATCCAGTGAAACGAGAGTACCATTCCTGGCTATATTGAAACTAATACAAACAGTATTCTAATTCTGAATTACGTCTCAAGAAACATGTAAATATCAAGTTCCGTGTATTTAGAGGTAACCGGTTATCGAAATTTAATGTTGCATCTGTCACTAACATTGATCAAACCCTTTTCAAAGCAAGGTCTCATCCTACCAAGTTTGATGGGAAATGCATAAATAATGTTCAGCATGTGTAACCACAAGCATTTGTGAGTTGTTTTTCTAATGGTGATCTTCAACTTTGACCTTTTCATTACATATGCAAAATTCATTGCCTAACGCTATATGGAAGAAGTCCATGTCGGAATAACTGGTAATGTGAATGATCTATGTGCAGAAGTAATTAGAAAAAGGATCGAGGGATGGGCCAATTTCAAGCAGTTCTGCTTCAGCATCATAATCTAAGATTTGTTCATGGCTTTAAAAAATGCAGTCGCCATATTTACTTCCCCAATTTTATGTATCTGCTTATCTGATTTCATGTACAACACAAACGCCACTGATGCGTTACAATCGCGCCATGTTCGACATTTTCGCTGTATTAATGCAGCACTTTCACTTTACTTTCTCGATAAAGGGAAAAAAAAATATTACATTTAAAATATGTGAACGTTTTGTCTTTGGACAACTGATGAAGACGAATCATCACAAGCAAAAAACATCCAGTTGTTTTCAATCTACAGCTTATTATCAATTGCTCAGACGCCGAATAACCTCGGAGTCATCTAACAGTAAGGTTAATGACCCTCACTTCTACACACACGTTCTACATACTAAATGAACTAATCTCCTTGGTCAAAAATTGTGATCGACATAGGCGGCTGGAGAATTCGGCTCCGAAACTCTATCTTTACGGAAGCTAGCATGTGTAATTTGCAAAATGTATAAATGTACCCTTTTGCATATTATTTGCTGGTTTAACTATTAAATGCTTACCTTCTTGTTGATGAATATTTTCGAAGACACATGCAGCTTGCTAACAGGATTCCCATAAGACACAGCACTGTTGTCAGTCCTATTATGATGTAGTTGCTATGAACCTCCGGTTGCACACCTGCTGAATAAAATGATGCTATGTTAAGTTAATGAGACATTAACAATGCCGTTAAATACAATCATGTTGGAATAGCCATGAGGAGAGAGCACGATATCAGTCTGTCAAACACTGAAGTTTGTGTTTGTGCTGGGTATTCAATTTTGTTTCTTATTGTTTTGCAGATACATCGACGAATACATAGGACTGTCTAACACGACGGAATGTGAAGACCCCAGTCACTCTCTATTAACCGATCTAAAAGTATTCCCGGTCCCGTTAAATCATAGTTACAACATCATTATTCAAATTTCGGAAACTGTCTATTCCAGACGCCGGCACATATTTTCGGTCTCATTCTCCAGTTTCCTCTCTGTATCGAGGCATTGAGAGGATTACCGTAACATGATTACAACATGAGCCTTGTGTCGGTACGTGAGTCCACTGTACGCGTACACTACTTGTAACATGTTAAGAACACCCACAAATGGACGTGTGTGGAAATACCTACCAGCCATGACATGACTTCTTTCGATATCCGTATCTATATTACGTGTCTGTACATATGGATTTTGCATAGCTATGTCTTATTGTAACAGCTAGGGAATTATAATTATAACGGATAACTGTACATGTTGAACAGTGGAGGAATTCTAAATATTGTATCTGTGAATTATCGTATTAATTTCCTTTTAAACACTATTATGACAATATGACATACATGGTATTTGTACTCAACATAAGACATGTTAAGATGACAAGAAATATACCGATATCTTCCACCCTTGTTCTCTGGGTTTTTTTCATGTGTAATGTTTTTAAATTTTCTTTAGTATTTAGTATTATTATTGAAATGAATATTATCTTACCACATGTACTTTGATTTCGGCAGATGTCTATCGAACAGTCACTTGAACAGGTAGATTTGCATCCATGATCAGTAATGTTGCATCCTTGTGTGCAGGTTCCAAACTCCTGGTCACAAATCCCATCAATGCATATCTCACAGGAATTGTTACAAAATTCACCATAGTAACCATTGTCGCACCCTTTCACACAGGTTCCGTTCTCCGAGTGGCAATCATGATCGATGCAGTTCTCATAGCATGTACAGTCAGTCCCAGCATACCCTGGTGCACAACCATCTACACACGCTCCTGACTCAGCGCAGGGCAGATTTGCACACTTTGAGGTACATCGAGATGAGCAGTTAGTACCATGCCATCCGACATTACAGCCATGAATACAGTATCCTGTCGTTTTATCACATTCGGGGGTGCAATTGGCGGAGACATTTCTGTCACAGGCTGATGATGAAGTTCCGTCGGGGTCAGGGAGGCAGTTTTCACTGCACACCTTTTCACACCAATGGCCATAGAATCCGGGATTACAACCGTGGATGCAATGTCCTGTCTTCTTGTCGCAGTCGAGGATGCACGTGTTGGAGACATTTCTGTCACATTCTAGCACAAAAGTTGCGTCAAGGCCGGCGCGGCAGTTTTCACCACACACCTTGTCACACCAATGACCATAAAATCCAGGATTACAGCCTTCTTCACATCCAGCCTTGCATGTTCCTTTACAATTCTCACATGGCATCTCACAGTTGGGGGCAGTGTACGGAGAATGACACTGGCTACACATTCCCGTGCTTCTATTACACGATTTACATCGTTCAGAGCAGTTCTTGCAGTCAAGGCCATAGTAGGAGTCAACGCATCCAGAAACACAGACTGACCCAATCTGGCAGTAGCCGTCGTCACATCCCCCTTTACATTCTGTACACTGTCTCTGATGTTCACATGGTATGCTGCAGCTTGTACCCTGGAGTCCTGGATTACAGCCATGGATGCACGCCGCGATGCCACTACCTTTGAGCAGTTCACACGCTTTATGTCTGCAGCCACTGTTGCACATAGATGTACATCGCTTGTTGAAATACCCAGGGTGACACGTTGATGAGCAGTCACCCGTTTCATCACAAACTGCGCAGTGCTGGCCATCTTTGCAGGGTGTTGCTATGCAAAATAGAATACATATTTAGATGAGAATAACATCAAAAAGTATTCAAAACTATGACAGCAAATTAGACGCATTAGATCAATGGGTCACATTTGTTCCAAATAACGAAAGAAATTGCTGAAGTCCCTGTAACTCGATTTAGGTCGAACTTCGTTAATAATGGAATAATCACTGCGATAGCAAAAAAAGATTTGTCAAAATAGGATATTGTGTTTATGCGAGTTACAGACCTATGAAATCATCTCCTTGTTCTGACTTATTAAGCACATTGTTATTATTTTCTGAAGCAGAAGCCTGGGTGAAACAAAAAGATTTGTCAAACTTACCTCCTATCAAAAGTACAACGGACGCAAAACATAGGATCACCAAAGATTTCATGATCTGTCTGAAAATTAAAAAAAGGAATATATACCCATCTATAATCTCACCAAAAAGACCGTGTAACAGAAAACAAGTAAACACTTGTAATACTTACTCGTTTTGAGGGAAGCACATGTTCAATGTTGGTGTATCGAGCTAAGTGGTAGGACCTCGGGGAAATATTACTTGGGCGACTTGTGGTCGCGGATTCAGACTTCGTACTGACAGTTGACTTTCAGTTTCCCTTTAATGAGGAGGTATGTCATGAATCTGTTCATGATTAGAATGTGTTCAGACCAATGATAACAGTTATCTATAATTCATGTTGTCGAACTGTACTTGATAAACTTTCAATTTCAACTAGTTTTATGTACATCAGACAACCTTTCAGTTTGTTCCCTTTAGATGTCGTTTCTATTATTAGTTTATTGCAAAACGTTTTGATATACAAATTGTTCTGGAAACAGTATGCCTGACTGAGACGAGTATAGCAATGTATGTATTACCCACGTATATTTTGAACATTGTTTAAGTGAACAGTTGGAAAAAGTACCGGCAAAGATGTAATGATATGTTTGAAAAGGGAAAAACACAAATATACCGATATGTATTATCATGAATAACATATTACTCTATTAAAGTTAACTAGTAAACATTTAATCTGCTTACTCGTAATGAGAGAGGAACATTTTCATCGTTGGTGTATCAGTCCAATTGATACTTATACGTGCGAATCCTAGTCGCGAATTCAGACTTCAGACCAGTATTAGCGGATTGTCAGTACTATACAAGTACTCGTGGGTTGCGATCGAAATACCAGTATTAGTGGGTTGTCAGTACAATGCCAGTACACGTGTGATGCCATCGCAATACCAGTATTAGTGGATTGTCAGTACAACGCACATACTCGTGGGTTGCAATCGGAATTCCAGTATAAGTGGGTTGTCAGTACCATACCAGTACTCGTGGGCTGCTATCATAATACCAGTATCAGTGGGTTGTCAGTACTATACAAGTATTAGGGGGTTGTCAGTACCATACCAGTACTCGTATGTTGCCATCGCAATACCAGTATTATTGGGTTGTCAGTACTATACGAGTACTCGTGGGTTGCCATCGCAATACCTGTATTAGTGGGTTGTCAGTACCCTATCTGTACTCGTGGGTTGCCATCGCAATACCAATATTAGTGGGTTGTCAATACTATATGAGTACTCATGGGTTGCCATCGCAATACCAGTATTAGTGGGTAGTGAGATCCATCCCATTCCTCGTGGGTTGCAATCGCAATACCAGTATAAGTGGGTTTTTCAGTCCCATACCAGTACTCGTGGGTTGCAATCGAAATACCAGTATAAGTGGGTTGTCAGTACAATGCCAGTACTCGTGGGTTGGCATCGCAATACCAGTATTGGTGGGATGTCAGGACCATGCCAGTACTCGTGGGTTGGCATCGCAATACCAGTATTAGTGGGTTGTCAGTACAATGCCAATACTCGTGGGTTGCAATCGAAATACCAGTATAAGTGGGTTGTCAGTACCATATCAGTACTCGTGGGTTGCCATCGCAATACCAGTATTAGTGGGATGTCAGTACCCTATCTGTAATCGTAGGTTGCCATCGCAATACCAATATTAGTGGGTTGTCAATACTATACGAGTACTCATGGGTTGCCATCGCAATACCAGTATTAGTGGGTAGTGAGATCCATCCCATTCCTCGTGGGTTGCAATCGCAATACCAGTATAAGTGGGTTTTTCAGTCCCATACCAGTACTCGTAGGTTGCCATCGCAATACCAGTATTAGTTGGTAGTCAGTACCTTACCAATACTCGTGTGTTGCCATCGCAATACCAGTATTAGTGGGTTGTCAGTACTATACGAGTACTCGTAGGTTGCCATCGCAATACAAGTATTAGTGGGTTGTCAGTACCATACCAGTACTCGTGGGTTGCCATCGAAATACATGTATTAGTGGGTTGTCAGTACCCTATCTGTACTCGTGGGTTCGCTTTGCAATACCAGTATTAGTGGGTTGTCAGTACCCTATCTGTGCTCATGGGTAGCCATCTCAATACCAGTATTAGTGGGTTGTCAGTACCATGCCAGTACCCGTGGGTTGCAATCGCAATACCAGTATTGATGGGTTGTCAGTCCCATACCAGTACTCGTAGTCTGTCATCGCAATACCAGTATAAGTGGGTTGTCAGTACACTTTCTGTACTTGTGGGTTGCCAACGCAATGCCAGTATTAGTGTGTAGTCAGTACCCTATTTGTACTCGTGGGTTGCCATCACAATACCAGTATTAGTGGGCTGTCAGTCCCATACCAGTGCTCGTAGATTGTCATCGCAATACCAGTATTAGTGGGTAGTCAGTACAATACCAGTATTCGTGGGTTGCCATCGCAATACTAGTATAAGTGGGTTGTCAGGACCATGCCCGTAATCGTGGGTTGATATCGCAATACCAGTATTAGTCGGGTGTCAGTACCCTATCTGTACTCGTAGGTTGCCATCACAATACCAGTATTAGTGGGATGTGAGTCCCATACCAGTGCTCGTAGATTGTCATCGCAATACCAGTATTCGTGGGTTGCCATCGCAATACCTGTATAAGTGGGCTGTCAGTACCCTATCTGTACTCGTGGGTTGGCTTTGCAATACCAGTATTTGTGGGTTGTCAGTACCCTATCTGTACTCGTGGGTTGCCATCGCAATACCAGTATTAGTGGGTTGTTAGTACCCTATCTGTACTCGTGGGTTGCCATCGCAATACCAGTATAAGTGGGTTGTCAGTCCCATACCAGTGCTCGTAGATTGTCATCGCAATACCAGTATTAGTGGGTAGTCAGTACAATACCAGTATTCCCGGGTTGCCATCGCAATACCAGTATAAGTGGGTTGTCAGGACCATGCCCGTAATCGTGGGTTGATATCGCAATACCAGAATTAGTCGGGTGGCAGTACCATGCCAGTACTCGTGGGTTGCCATCGCAGTACCAGTATAAGTGGGTTGTCAGTACCATACGATTTCTCGTCGGTTGCCATCGCAAAACCAGAATTGATGGGTTATCAGTCCAATACCAGTACTCGTCGGTTGCCATCGCAATACCGGTATTACTGGATTATCACTACAATGCCAATACTCGTGGCTTGCAATCGAAATACCAGTATAAGTGGGTTGTCAGTACCTTACCAGTACTCGTGGGTTGCCATCGCAATATCAGTATTATTGGGTTGTCAGTACCCTATCTGTACTCGTAGGTTGCCATCGCAATACCAGTATTAGTGGGTTGTCAATACTATACGAGTACTCGTAAGTTGCCATCGCTATACCAGTATTAGTGGGTTGTCAGATCCATGCCATTACTCGTGGGTTGCCATCGCAATACCAGTATTAGTGGGTTGTCAGTACCTTACCAGTACTCGTGAGTTGCCATCGCAATACCAGTATTATTGGGTTGTCAGTGCACTATCTGTACTCGTAGGTTGCCATCGCAATACCAGTATTAGTGGGCTGTCAGTCCCATACCAGTGCTCGTAGATTGTCATCGCAATACCAGTATTAGTTGGTAGTCAGTACAATACCAGTATTCGTGGGTTGCCATCGTAATACCTGTATTAGTGGGTTGTCAGTACCCTATCTGTACTCGTGGGTTGGCATTGCAATACCAGTATAAGTGGGTTGTCAGGACCATGCCAGTACTCGTGGGTTGATATCACAATACCAGTATTAGTCGGATGTCAGTACGATGCCAGTACTCGTGGGTTGCCTTCGCAGTACCAGTATAAGGGGCTTGTCAGTACCATGCGATTACTCGTGGGTTGCCATCGCAATACCAGAATTGATGGGTTCTCAGTCCCATACCAGTACTCGTAGGTTGCCATCGCAATACCGGTATAACTGGATTGTCACTACAATGCCAATACTCGTGGCTTGCAATCGAAATACCAATATAAGTGGGTTGTCAGTACCTTACCAGTACTCGTGGGTTGCCATCGCAATATCAGTATTAGTGGGTTGTCAATACTATACGAGTACTCGTAAGTTGCCATCGCTATACCAGTATTGGTGGGTTGTCAGATCCATGCCATTACTCGTGGGTTGCCATCGCAATACCAGTATTAGTGGGTTGTCAGTACCTTACCAGTACTCGTTAGTTGCCATCGCAATACCAGTATTACTGGCTTGTCAGTACTATACGAGTACTCGGAGGTTGCCATCGCAATGCCAGTATAAGTGAGTTGTCAGTACTATATGAGTACCCGTGGGTTGCCATCGCAATACTTGTATTAATAGGATGCCAGTACCCTATCTGTACTCGTGGGTTGCCATAGCAATACCAGTATTAGTCGGTTGTCGGTACCCTGCCATTACTTGTGGGTTGCCATCGCAATACCAGTATTAGTGGGTTGTCAGTCCCATACCAGTACTCGTAGGTTGCCATCGAAATATTGAAGTATTATTGGGTTGTTAGTACCATACTAGTACTCGTGGGTTGCCATCGCAATACCAGTATTAGTGGGTTGTC